TTTTAGTTGACTATGATAGGAAAAGTCTTTTACGAAAGTGGGGATGGGTAGATCTTTTCACAGGGAAGCTATAGGGAAGAGTTCAAATTTGAGCTGTATTCAGTCCCAAGTTCTATTGGTTTGGCAATACCCAATAGAAATCAACAGTTTAGAGGGTAGGTTCCCCAGTATAATTTTGATGTTTACACATTCTAGGATGGCTAATTCGTCTGATTCACTTTTTGAAGTACATATGACTCTCGGATTTAAATTCGAAGTTTCCGCATTTTTTCTTTGAAATATCGAATAATATAAAAGAAAAAACAAAAAGAAGCAACGCTTTTGAAGTGTGCAATTGTAAAAGAAAGTCTATTGCATCAACAAATGAAATTATGCCATAAAAAGAAAGTACTTTGAAAAACTATTTAATCTTTCAATAATCTCATGCTTAGAACATAGTTAGTATGATGAAAAATTTAAGGAAGATAGCCACCTAGATGTGAGACAAGCTTAACATACTTAATTTTTAATTTGCCAAAGAAGATTTGTTGAAATCAAAATGCATACGTGAATTCGAAAATTTATAGAGTTCTCATTGTCACATAGGAAAATATCATTTTTTCCAGTAGGAAAAAACCTACCATCGACTACACAAAATAAGACTTGACGTAATGATTTTTCCTACTAATGTTGTTATAGTGTGATCTGATTATATATGGTATTTTCCTTTTCTCTTTCTTCTGTTCTGCTATCGTTCAAAGATGACATGTACGATACGATATATTTATATGTATTTTCTTCTTTCCTTTTCTTTTATTCTCTTGATGTAGTTTAGGTATTTTCCATCTCATCATATCCTTTTCCCAGGTGTTCTTATAGGTTTCCCCCTAGTTCATTTCCCTCCTAGATACTGTTTCTGTTATTTTTTCTACATTACTCACGTATTAATAAACTGGACGTACGTAACAGTTACCATCAACGAAATCTAAGAGAAAAAGATGGAAATGTATGCACGTGTGTAATATATAGACATGCATTGCACCTAAGGTTTTTGTATTTAGTTATCTTTGTTTTTTTAACCAATATAATTGATATTGACGATCATGAATACATATAGTCAGTAATTATACAAAATAATTTCAAATACAAACTTCATTTCTTTATAGTTAAGATAATGTGTTATTGAATGAGAAAAATAAACTTCGAGCTGAAATTTAATTGAAGAGAATATTTGATTTTCTGTAAATTGATTTCAATTTATTCAACATCGAAAGGTTAGAATGGCTAAAATGGAGTGGGATATGGATGTGAATATGTGGGTTATAGTCTTTTTTCTTCTAATTCATATCTGTAACAATCAACGTGTGATATCGTGTCTTTCCACTGACTTTATTTCAATCTGTTTATTCTTTTATAGTTCCGTTCCGATTCAGCACGAATCAATCAAGTGAAGAGGAAGGTATCACAGAGAGAGAGAATATGAGAGAGGAACAGAAGTACACATCTATTAACCACGATAGAGCAAGTGCTTACGTCAGCACATATATATTAATTTTTAATCAGAACACATAGAAATATTCTTTATTAATATATAATAATTTTATAAATCTTAAACTCAAAATCAATCGAACATGAAATTATGTATTAAATAGTAAAAATCGAATGACTATTCAATTGAAAAACTCTTATTAGAAAAGATTGAATAGAAATAGTAGGGATATAAACGTCATTTTAAAAGATAAAAATATCTCAATGAGACATTATAAATATATCTTTCAATACTTTTTCACTAAACGAAACAGACTTGACATTTCAAACAGGCAGAGCATTACTCAAGAAAATGAATTTTGAATATTGAAAACAAATGAAGTTGGTTTTTTTCAGTTGCTTAACATGTTGTTTCTAATTTTCATCCTGCTCATTGAAAGAACATGTTCTAATAAGATCATTTTTGGTCACGCTGTTTTCTATTGGAAAAAAATGACAGAACTGTCGGAAGCCTTTCTCACCTCTTAGTTTCGTGCTATTTCAATATGACCTTATTGATTCCTGTGGTATTTCTTAAAGTCTCCAATAATAATTCTTTAATGGCGAGGTAACGAGACGTTAAAGAAGATTCATATAGGCTCGATTTATCTTCTTCTTTTTGTTTTTTTTTGAATATAGCGCTCGTTTCTGCTTGAAGTTTATTATCATGTGTAGCTAAGTTGTTATTTCATTATCATCTTCTCGTGCTCTCATTCAGTGAAAAGCTATTGATATTATTCTGTTTAATTTGTTAAATCTTCAATATTTATTCAAGTTAAACTTTTCAATAGTTTACAAATACCACGGCCCAATACCATTGTGCAATCCAAGGAAAAATCTAAATACACAAAGCGATCATCTAGTAATGCTGTTGTAAAACAAAAACATACAAAATCAAATGCATCCAAAACAGCAAACAATAGTCAAATTGCAAAGATATCTCGTAAACATCTTATTGAATCATTAGCTGAATTAGGCATATTAATTCCAACTAGAATAAAAAATGATACGTTATGTCTCTTTATATGAAGCTAATGTTATCGAAGAACAAAAGAAAAACAAAAATCAAGTTCTAATTGGATCAATAACGACTGAAGTTAAACATAATCGATATGCTGCATCAGCCGATGATTCTTCTGATAATGACACAGAAAAAATTCATGATGTTAATATTAATTATAACAAAATGACTCCATCCAATACACAAGACGAGAAAAGAGGTCATAACATTGTTCGTTCACAAAAAAATATAAAATGGATTTTTCCATCATGGTGAACCAACAAATAATGTTAACAGCAATTCTGGTGAGCCGTTTACATTGTTTTCGGCTCCAATGGCTGAGGAGAACATTACATTTCGGAAGTAGTGGACTATCTATACGAGGCGATAGTGATCTTGAAACTGTTCTGAAAGGTTTACGAAAAGCTATTATTGAAGGTTATCATGTTAATTTGGTCCATCTTCTTCTTCCTCGAGACAACAAAAAATATAGTCGTAATGGTGATGATGATGAGGACAAAAATGTTTATCTTAAATAAAAGGATGACCCTCGCTTAGATAAAAATCTTACTATTCTTGAATATATATTAGCTTTTACACGTTATTTAAATATCATCTGTGAAGCTTTTCCTCAACGACGTCGTGAACTAACAGCTTATTTATGTGATGTAATACGTTTATCTTCTCGATTCTGTCATCCCTTTTTCTATCATCACCACCGTTTATTTGCTCAAAAAGCTGAAACTCTATTGCAAACACGCAACATTCTGATCGATTGGTTCAAAAGAGATCATGATATTTATCTTAATGTCTTCTCTGGATACGACCAATTGTTTGTGATTTATGTCGAAGTCCAGAACACTATATCTTTTTGTAAAAAAATACTCAATCGGAATGATTTAATTGAAAAAATGTTATCGGAAAATCACGATCGTTTTACATCTACAACATCATCGAAAGTTTCTTTTCTTCAAGGTTTAGATAATGATGATATTAAGCAAGGTTTGGGCCCTATTTGTAAATTTTATCATGCAGCCGGTTTCGAAAAATGTATTCAACCGAATTGTCGTTTTCTTCATTTATGTTCTCATTGTCGAGGTACAAACCCCAAAAAACTGGTGTAATATCAAATAAACTGATATTATATATAAACTGTATTGCTGCTCTTCATAATAATAATAATAAAAAAGAAGTTTACATAATTCCACTACTACGAATAATATAATAAATGTAGAAATAAGTGCTAACGGTCAAGGATTCTCTAATAGAGTATTTTTTTTTTCATTTAAATCGAATCAACATATTTATAGTATGAGTTGCTGAATAATGTATACTATAATTGATCTAATTCTCCTTTATTTATAGTTAGCGGTTGCTCTAAGGGCATTCCATTAGTAGCAACTACGCCAATTGATATTTGTCGATTGGAGCAAGAATTAGCTGACCATCTTCATAAGAAATTTACTTCATTCTTGTTATCAGGCTTGCGTGAAGGTTTTGATACTGATATCTCCAACATACAGAACAAATCTTTAGAATGCCCCAATTTATGATCAGCACGCTGTGACCCAGAAAATGTTACTTGTTTAGTGGCAGAAGAACTTAACAAAAGTTTCTTAATCGGTCTTACTACTCTCCATCTTTTAATTATCGAATAAATCCTATTGGTTTGGTTGAATCAAAATATTCAAAAAAGGAACAAACATTTAATTGTTGATTTATCTGCTCCTCATGATGACAAAGACCAACCAAACATTAATTCTCTGATCGACAAAGATACTTATTCTCTACTATATGGTACTGTTGATGATGCTATTAAAAGTATTCAGAAATTATGAAAGGGTGCTTCGATGAATAAAGCTGATGTCCAAGATGCTTTTAAATTGCTTTCGATTAAACCATCTCTATGGTCTTTCTACGGCATTAAATGGAATAACTATTATTATTTCTTTGTATGCTTACCATAGGGTTCTCGTAGTTCATCTAAATTATTTGACATGTTAAGTGATGCCATTGTTTGGATTGCTGAACATAATTATGGTATTAAAAACATGTTACATTTGTTGGATGAATTTTTTGTAGTAGACAATCCTGATGATGGTGGAGAACGAACATGTGCTATGATTAGTTTTCTTTTCAATTGACTTAAAATTCCTTTACCAGTAAATAAAACGCTCGGTCCCGTTCAAGAAATGGAATATTTAGGTATTACTCTTGATTGAAATCTAATGAAGGCGAGGTTACCTCAAGAAAAAGTATTACGTATCATGGAGATGATTATAGATCTTAACTTAATCGATGTAAATGTAGAAAACGTGAATTACTAGTTATCCTGGGTCGCATATCATTTGCATCCAGGATTATTATCACAGGCAGAACATTTGTTCATTATTTATTCAACTTTACCATTTATGTTCGATCTCTAGAATCACATATTACCACTAATCAGCAAGCCCAGCTCGAATTAACAATGTGATATCGACATTTGAGTGAATGGAACGGAACGTTTTTCTTTCTTGATCCTAATATTTCCACCAATACTGATTCAGTTTTCTCAACGAATGCTAGCACAACTATAGGGTGTGGTGCTGATTTTGGGAATGAGTGGTTTGCTCATCGGTGATCTGAGCAAATGCTTAATCTTCCAGAAAGCGAAAAATCAACAGCATTTTTCGAGATTATTCCTATCGTTGTTGCCGCAGTTTTATGGGGTTCTCAATGGAAGAGGAAGCGAATTTGTCTTTTATGTGATAATCAGGCTACAGTTAACACAATTAATAAAGGTCGATTGAAAAGTTCTCTTATTACAGCGTTTACTCGTAGCTTAACTTTACTTGCCATTCAACATCAATTTTTATTACGAGCTGTTTATATTTCTACATATGACAATAATTTAGCAGATTCTCTCTCTCGTTTACAGATAAATCGCTTTCATCGACTATTACCAACCGCCGATCAATACTCAAAAGATGTTCCTTCAATGAAAGACTTAACCTTTCCACCGACTAAATCGATAGTGTTGTAACTGATTTACTTAATAATACTATTTCTTCAACTTCGAAAACATCATATTCTTCTGGTTATAAGCTTTTTACTCGTTTTGCAGTTATGTACTGTTTTAACATGCATTCTTCTGATTTACCTCATAATCTTATTTTACATTTCACAGTATTTTGTCATGGTATTTGTAACATTCGATGTTCTACAATACGCTCCTACTTAGGTGCTATTCGTCTTTATCGTTTACATGATGACTTTTCTGATCCATTTTTAGACATGCACGGTTATAAAATACCACAAATTTAGATGATTCTTAGAGGGACACGACGTTTAGATTCATTGTTCACCAAACAATGCAAACCTGTTACCATCGATATTCTCAACAAATTAATTGGTGCATTACGACGCGGTATATTTAATCCTTATCTCGATACATTAATGCAAGTAGGACTTACTACTGAGTTTTGGGATTTCTTCAGATCTGATGAATTATTTCCTGATAAATTTTCTTTACGTTTACATGTCACGAATGCTGATGTTAAATATGATATAAACTGTATTATTATTCATTTAAAATCATCAAAGACTGATATAGAACGCAAAGAAGCGAATATTCGTTTGTTTAGAAACGAATCTATTAATTGTGCAGTTCACGCTTTACACTGTTGTACTATTCTTTGCAATAGCAATTATCATGATTCTCCTTTCTTTCTTTTACCCAACGGTCAAGCATTTACTCGTCATGCTTTTATCTTCAATTTAAGACATGTATTGCTTCAATTAGGCTATGCAGCTTCTGCTTATAGTGGACATAGTCTACGAGCAGGAGCAGCTACATCTGCAGCGGCGGCTGGTGTTCCTGATCATTTAATACAAACGCTAGGTCGTTGGAATTCTTTGTCTTACTTACGTTACATTCGTGTTAGTGACACTATTATTCTTAAAGATCATAATAAAATATTGCAGATTTCTTCTTAGGCATTCTTTATTTAGTCTGCTTATTGCTTTATGTATATATTTTCTTTCTTGTGGGCGTAAAGTTCTCATCTTGCAATAAAGCTTCTTGTGGTGTTTAAAGTGCCCCAGAATGACCAGAACACAATGTCTTTCACTTTATTTCATTGTGTTCTATGTAATTGTTTTGTTTTGTTACTTTGTACGTTGGCAGAAAATATATATATGTCCAACTCGCCACTATATAAAAACAGTCTTGTCATAGAGAGATCGACATGAATATATTTTTCAAATTTCTTCAAAAGTATATCAACTAGGCGTCCTTTTTCATGTTGATAACGAATTTCATGTTTAAAATCAAACAGCAAGTTGAGCTTTCATGACAAAAAGTGCATATTACTAATAAATTGGTCATAAAGTAGTTTTTTGTATATGTACTACGTTTTTTTTCACACAAAACCAAACAAAAGCATTAACTTTTTATCCTTTAAAATGTATCAATGTAAGCAAGATCATTTGTTCTACCCATTCCAATTCAACTCAACTGGAAAAATACTGATACGTCATTATAATATCGAAAAAAACTTCAAAATGTTCTTGAAAATCAGTGGTCTAATTTTTGATCGGAAGTTTTACTAAATTACTGAAAAGTGCCTTGATGTTACAAAGCCACTCATACAGATCGACGAAGTTTATCATGATCTATCTGAATATCAATTCAAACCAGCCAAAAAAGATGTACATAATGTTTTCAAAGACCCTCTGAAAAATCGACTCTGAATTTTTAGAAAATCTGAGTTTTTGGGTATGCCATCATGTTCCACATGTCTTAAAAGCTATTCCGACAATGTTTCATAATTTTTATCAGAGTCTATCATGTCAAATATTAATTGCTTCAGCCTAGAGAAAAAATTGGCTTTCTGGTCAGTCTATTAGAACATTGCGAATATCAATTGAAACGGTCGACGCAAGGCTAGATGTTTTCAGATATGGTAAACACATTGAGGTTGTCGAAAACCTTATATTCTCTAAAATTCTGGGGTCAGTTTTGTAGAGAGCTTTGAGAAACCTGATATACATGCTGCTTTGAATTGACATTCAGATAGAGCATAAAAAACTGCATGGAGGTGTATATATGATTTTTTTGACATCAACCCATTTTTCAGGAGGATAAAAGTCGATAAAAAGTCACACAATTCAGTTTTTAAAATATTTTAACTTTTTTTATGCGAAATTATAATCACGTGTGAGTTTTTTTAGAGCTGATTTCATTTGAAATAGATAGAGTGAATAGTTTTGTCCGAATATTTTATATTTTAGAAAATAAACCTAATGCTTAATTATATTATTTACATGCTAAAAGAGTTGTGTGAGGGAAAACTACTATATGATCAATTTATTAGTAGACTTTGGACATTTTATTATCTTGCAAAGACAAGCATATTCAAATTCATTTATCAATGCAAGTAGAAAATGCATTTTTGATATTAACCTACGATGCATAAATATCTGCACAAATATTAAGCTCCGTTGTGTTCGAATGGAAAATACTGAAAGCCTAACTTTTCCATTCATCTATAGACCAAGATATGTACTTTGAAATTTATATTCAAAATAAAATTAAGGATGTACTTAGTTTAAGGTAGTAAAAGTTTAATGTTTTTATAATTACTAAAAATGGCTTGTCACCAGACTCCTGTAAGACAAACTTATTCGTGTCCTGAACCCCGTTCTACGTGTGTATTGAGAAAGATATCATTTTGTCAAAAAACAAAGAATTATTCAAGTTAATTATTATGAGACGAATTAGCTACTCTCCGATATACTGAGGCATTTAAAATTCTTTATACACTCGAAGGAAATAATGCAAGTGTTATATCTCCGCTATGACTCGACCATTTGGACTGCGATTTTCTTCAAAATATAGTCTACTTTTATAAAGTTTCACCTTGATCCAAAGTTAAACATCTGTTGTAGGTAAGAAAGAAAATCATATGTTTCAGTTTGGCTCAAAATTATTCACACCACGCTTATGATATTTTATTGTATACTTTTCGACTTAAACGTTTTTGTGGTTTACGAATGTCACTATTTTCAATGTTGAACATATTTCTAACAAAGAACATGCAATATATTGTGAAATACATCGTTTTCAGATGTTATTACCATGAAATAGATGAAATACACACTGACGAATTGTGTTTATTTATATTTATTTCCTATGAATTATACGAATATTTTTCAGCCAAATAGAAACATACGATTTTTCTCGTTTTCTACTGACAACAAATTTTAGACTCTGGTTCAAGCTGAAACGTTATACAAGTACATTATACTTGCTGTTATACGTTTCGGAGAAAACCGCAGCTTAAATGATTGACTGTTGTAGAAGTATGAAAAACATGAATTTGAGATATAACTACAGTTTAAGTGCACTGTCGTCTTCATTCTCACTCTGACTAATGTACACAAAAGACTAATTTAAATGAGACAATGAACTTAAGATGCATTAGAGTGTAACAGCTTGATAAAGGACATAACAATAAAAAGCTTTCAAGGCATATTGTAGTATTTTTGTTTCAGTGTTTTTACTTTGTATTATTCATTTAAACATACAGAGATGTGATAGAAATAAGAAACTAAAATGTCATACATGTTCTGATATGTGGACTTAAAAAATTTGAGACATTCGTTTTTTTTTCATATTGACTTGAATCCGGTTTGACCTGCAGGATTCTACTTGTTATCAAGGTAAATATTTTTGCGCTTTTTCTTGTTGAAACTGGTATTATGCTGACTAAAAAAAGGAGATAATGAATTCAAACTTGAAAAGGAATGCTGTGGATTCTAGATCTTTTGAAAATCGATTTTCTATTTTTCTGTGTATCAAGGACAACTAGTAATCAGCGTAAAATACAAAACCAATAGATTCCCAAGTTTTTGACGAAACTTTAAAAGAAGGGCAAAAATATGCATCTAGGATTGAATCCACGCAATGTTACACTATCTAATTATAGAAGCTTATTGAAAGCGATTGAAGCCGTACTTATAAATTGAGGTCGTGCATTTTTTTTTATCCTCCATGACTTCATGTTGCAGCAAAAAGGGAAATATATATATTCTAACATTTATAATTATATATTTAACGGTATCGTTCGATTAAAGAGAAAATACCTCTATTGAATGTTCATATTAAATGAAGCCGATATCATTTTTTTTTCTATCACTTAATTCTAGAATTGTGCAAGTTAATTCAAATGGAAAAAAATATTTTTATTAATTTTTATTCAATGATAAATTAGTAAACCACATTTGAATGTCGGTATCTTGTTCTTGCATTTGTCAACTAACACAACCATCGTTCGATAACAACATTTCATTCGAGTCGCTATACAAAGAATAAATTCATGTTCTGAAATTCAAAAGCTTTTACGTTTCAGTTCAAATAATAAGGAGTCATGAACATATAGATTAGTGGTGGACAACTTTTAGCGTCGAAAGTTCATGTTGGCAATTCTGATTTCAATACACGCAAAAATTTCGAAATCAAAAATAGCTTCTGTATAAGGTGATACATTTCTTTCTTTAACTCTCAACAAAAGGTTACAGTAGTCATCTGGAAATATTTATAAACAATGATTTGATAAACAATCATAGAAAACATCTCTAGATTTGTTTAACATAAAATATGTTCAAACCAATCTCCTACAGGCATAATTGACAATTAATTTTTAACCAATGGATGTGAGCGAATTCAAATTAGAATCACAATCGATACCGGCGATTTCGACTCTGATTCAAAGAAAAAAGGCTTTTGAAGTCTTATTCGCCCTTCTCCTCTCAAATTGCTTGTGATTGAGAGTTATATACATTTCAAAATTAGATATCTGTCGACATAATTATATTTTATAGGCTAAATACATATTCTTGTAATAATAAAGGACCGATATCGGAGTTCAGAAGTTTTCACGTATATAAACATTTTTTCTTATGTTTCACAAAAGCAACTAACTATGAAAAAATAGTGATGACAAAAACACGGCCAAGAACTCGTTCTTGAAAAAATGGAGCGTAGTTTATTGGATAAGGACATGTTTCACAAAATAGAAGGAGGCACTTGAATTCGTTTTTAATAAAGAGAAACCCGTTTATTGTAAAGGGGAATGCATTCCTGCACATTCAGAACGTGTTCGAATGCATCCAAAGAAGAAGCGATGTTTAGTTATAGAAAAACATTTTTTATTGATGAAGTACATATTTTCAACCTTTCTAAATCGAAAAAAGGAACATTTTTAATTATAATAATAAAAAGTGCATGAAAATCCAAGCTGCTATACATGGATCTCTTATGACACACATGTAGGCCTTTATTTATATTACGATAAAAATATCTCATAAACAAGCATATCAGCAGAAGAAACAAATAAAATTACAAGTTCGATGACTCTCAGTGAGGTTCGGTAGCCGAATAAATGTATATTCATCACTAAAGAAAATGCTGAAAAAGCAGCCCAGATGTCGTTGCTTTTTATCGTTTATCGTGAGTTTCTCGAAATCTAGTCAGGTGGCTGCAATAATTTTTTAAAATTACGGCTCTGTCGAAAATATAAAGATGATGCTGGGCTATTCTTTGCAATTGATCAGAATTACTTTTTCAGGCAATCAAATTTCATAATTTAGTATTAACTTGCACCGTATAGCCATCGCCTAAGTTCAAAAGTAAAAAAGATGCATCTGTTGAGTGTCCTTGAGACCAGTGTTTTTAATAGGACGATCCTATACATAGGATAGTGGATCATTGAACTGAATATATTGTTCTGAATTAGTGAAAGCTGCACATCAACGGCAGTGTACGCAAAGATAGAGTAAAGATGTCAATAGATATTTGCTGTCAACTTAATTTAAGCGTAAATGAAATAACAGAAATTTAAATGTAAATCGTCAATAATTTTATTAATTTTATATTTGAATTATCCGCACTTCTTAATTGGAAAAATAGAAAATATATCCTAGATTACGTTCTA